TTTGCTTTCATATTCCGATCCTTCTTTACTCCTCCTGTTTCATCGTCTGACAACTCTACTCCTCGGCATGGCATGATATTTCATCGCTCATCGACATGAATGCCATTTCTTCCGTTGTTTCTTGTGCTGTGTTTGCTCCTTCTACATCTCGCTGTTCCGCTTTGAGTTTTAGAGCAATCCGATTTCTGTGCCCAATCTTTCCAAGTTGAAGCACTTTCCGCTGTAATTTCTTCTTTCTTGAAATCCTCTACTGCTATCCCATTGTTCCTGTGATCTTTACCGTTTTGACTTTCCTTGTTACCTTTTTCCGTAGCTTCTTCGTTCGATCCTTTCTTGTCTGGGCAATCTTGTTGCTTGTGTCCGATCTTTCCACAGTTCTGCCTCTGCCCTTGAATTTGTTTTCCTCCAATCATAAAAGCTGTTTCGCCATTGTGGGCTGTTCGACTTGTTCCGTGCCTTAATATCATCGTAGATTTCGCATAATTCATCCACCACACTCTTTTCAACGTTATTCCATGTCCTGGTTGTCTTGATCCTTCGCAGTACATTCTCTTCACTTCATGTACACTCCGAGTTCTCCTCTCCTTCTTCGGCATCTTCTCGATAGGTCCTTGATGTACTCTTCGTCCGATATCTTGACCCATCCTTCGCAGCTTCTTGCGTTTCACGTTCGAGTCCAATCTCGAACTTCTTGGGGTTTTCCTTGATGTCCCTCTTTATCGCGTATTATTCCGTTCGTCGACTCTGCTACCTCACCACTGTCATTCAGCATGTAGAGGTCCAGCATGGACCCCACATGCCCTTGAATTCCCAGCAGCATGGTCAGTCGTTTGGTGTGATGGCCAGTAGGTCGAAGGAGACTTGCCCTTCGATGGTCTCCACATTTATCGAATCCAGCAGTATCCAGCAGCCTTATGCTTTCTTCTTCTGCAGACTTTCGATCTTTTCTACTTCGTCGTCCGACAACTTGCCCGTACTGTAGGGTTTCCCAGTTGTCGGTTTGATCTCCGTAGAGTCTTTCATCACTTCTACGTACCCTACTTGATAAATGGGCCATCATCCTGACCTTGTAGAACCTGAACTTCTCATCTTTCCCATCGAAGATGGGGTACTTGCTCGACGATGATAACTCTACCTCCGTAGACATCTTACTTACTTCTCAATTACTTCTCCTTTCCTGTTTGACAACCTGGATCAAGCTCACTCTTTCCTGCATGCTATCGTTTTAAAACGTGTTGAAAGGGTGTGAACTTGAACGCACAATTTCTCTAATTTAATCAAAATCCTTCCAGCTCTACTGTCTAGTAGACTGCTATTCGTTTCGTTTTTCTCTTTCTCTCTCGTTCAGATTGTGAGCTCTACAACTGAGCTCCGATATGCATACTATACCAGGATCTTTCGATCCTCTGCTTCTCGCAATTTCATCTACAGATAGATCTCGTCGATCTATCTTCCTGAAGTGCATGGTTGGCCCTGGAGGGCTTTCCCACTTTACTAACCTATGGACCTTCATCCGTCCATTCATTTGCTCCATCCCGTCGCTCCTTGCATTCATCTCCTCGACCTAACTTCCTAACCTTTGTAGTTGCATCATCTAGACCGACCATTGTCCTCGTTCCTCGTACACCTGGCCATCTGATGATGATCGGATAACCATCTGATTTGAGTCACACATCCCCAATCACGAACCGTGATTGTGGATCCCGAGTCGTCTGTCCGTCATACGAAAATACCTTTCTGACAAGCCTATAAAAAAACTAATCGGAATATGCATAGGCTACCTGCTACCTGTATGCTGGCTAGCCAGTGTAGAGCTCTCTATTTACGGTGTAGCGCGATAGGGCACAGGGCACAGGCCACTTCCAGTTTACCGCGGCAAATCGTCGTGTAATTAGAATGTGCAGGTGAATAAATAAGTCATCATCAGAAGCAGAATGATTCTTCCATCGGGTTCTGTTAAATATTTTACTGGTAAGTACATGGAGAGGCTATGGAGTGTTGCAGCTCTGTTGCTGGGTCGAAAAAAGGGAAATCCAACCCATAAATCCCCACTGGACACCATTGCGATTGACTTTTGGGGACGAACCCCACGACGTTGAGCCCAGTAGCCCTCACAAACTCTGAGCAGTCTCTGATGAGCCACCAACCACAACAAAATTTTGGGTTATCATTTATTTGCATGCCACGTAGCGTAGCACTGGTAGTCAATGCTATGAGGGAATGCAGAAACCCATCTACCGGTCCTCTCTGACGGGTCATAAAGAGATTTTCATACTGGAATAAAGGAATAAACATTCATGAAATTGCCTTACTGGATAGGTGGCTGGCCACTAGCTAGCTGGCTTTGATTGCGTGCCCCTTCAAGTTCCAATAGTACACCAGCCTTAGAAACCCACCTGATTGCACAGGAACAAGGGGAAACCTTTTTTCAACTTCATAGCCCTCACTGGAGATGCAAAAGGGCCTTGTGTCAACTGAGCTATGGATTCAGATCCTTTGCTTCCAACATCCCTTTCAATGGATCGAGTGTTGTACTCATTGTCCACATGCATGTAGTGCCCTTCAGAGTTCAGAGGATGCACGGAGCACGCTAATACCAGTGTGTGTGCAACCACCGCAAGATTTGTGAAGTAGACCTACTTGGGATGCTCGCCTGCTCTACAATAGCCCATTGGTTTTGGCAAAAATCCTCTTAGAAGGGTTCCTTGATCTCCTGGCGGACCGAATCGAGCGACACAAAAGTAGCACTCGAGCAATTTTGTTCTTCCAAATCCTGTTTGTTCTGATGACTTTGGTTGGATTCGAAGACTTTCCAGGTCCCGTCACAGCTCATGCACAAAATCAGCTCACTGGATGAGATTGAGAAGGCAGGCATCCTGAACTGCCTTCGAAGGTACATGTAATCATTTCCCTTCTTGTTCTCGAGAAGAGAAAGGGACCCATTTGCGTACTATGAAGATGGAAGTTGGCCGGAAAAGGGTGGCGGGTGATCTTCTCCGTTTTGTGGGTGCGCAATGACCTTGTTGCTGGTCTGCCTGTTTTTAAGCTAGTAGGTCATTGCTTTCTCCGAGAAGTGGCTAGCTACAGTAGCTAGCTACTAGCAAGAGGAGCGATGTATGGAGCCATGTTCCAACGTCTCAAAAAGAAGCACTAGAAGCGTTGTAGTCAGGACCTACAGGCAGATGGCAACAATGGAAGCAAAGAAGAAAGCTCCAACGTCGACGAGAAAAGTGTTTTGCCAAGTCTGCGCCACTACCGGTACGGTACGTAAGGTGGGGGCCGTTGTACGCTGCATAGCAACTACCGGTATCCACAATTGGAGTGCTGGAGTGCTACCGGTAGGACTTATGACCGCGGAGGCGTAAACCGCATCGCACTCCGCTGCGATGCTGCTGAACACCTGAATTACTACCAGGATCACTCTCCAGGCGAACTATAGCGCCTTCACGCAACATCCAGGAAAAGTTTGGCTGTTCAATATCCAAGAGATTTCCTACTATAATAGCAGCTCTTGAAGTTTGTGCAGCGTCGGTTTCGTGCGGTGCGATATGCAATGCGCGAAGAGCCCTTGCGAAACAAAGTCAGGTGAAATAAATCATCTGCTACAAGATAGACAGCCGAGACTCACTCACTCAACGCCGAGCTTGCGGGCTGGCCGGTACATCGTACAGGGTTTCACTTCTTTTGCTACGGTTTGGCCCACCAAGAACCAGTTGGAAGGCTTACTTGTATGCAGTGTGTGAAGTCAGCTTCTGGTGTGTCCAGGGACCTAAGGTCCCTACGTGCCCAAAACTTTCTCTGCAAGCCGTTCTGCTTATCAAAATCCACCACCCAGACTATTGCTTCTTCGGTGCCAGACTAATATGAAAACACGTCAAATGAAAAGAGCTACACTTCTAAAGATAACTCCGTCATAGTACAGTACTTACATAGTGCACACGATGTGAACAAAGTCAGGGAGGTGGAGGACAACGAGCTGAGCATGAAACCGAAAGAATCCACTCAATCTGATCCAAATTTCCGAAAATCGAATTTTCTTTGGAAGTCGAAGCAACGCGACCGAAAGGGAGTCTAGGGTAGGTAAGTTTTCTATTAAAGCCGCTTAGGCAAAGAAGATGCGGACTAGAGTGAGTCAGTCTACTGGAATATCCACAAACTGTGTAATGTTTACCCGCACATCGGCCTTCATGGTCCACCATGACGATTCGAGGCGGTCTTGCAGGTTGTGCGACATTGGCATTGCCTACCATTTGCTGTGCAAGATGACACGGCAGCCTTAGTCTCCATCGCGCTCTTTGGCAGGGTGAAAGGATGCATGATGGAGTTGTTTCGCGGCAGAAGAACTGTTTTGAGGAAGCCAAGTTGAGGTTGATCGGGTCAAAATAAATGCAACAATAGCAAGGCTTGGGGTGCCCCATGCTACTGTAGGCTCCGTGGGATCAGAAGTGATTACTAATTGGTAGATGTTGAGTACCCGTACTAACCTCGTGTCTTGGTTGTACCTCGGATCAAATCATAGGATCGGATAAAGATCAGAGATCCGATTCGAGATGTTAAGGCGCAAAGGGTATCTATATCGGACCAAGGCAACCAACTGAACCAGAACAATATGGAAATCCTGGTCGCAGACAAAAGAATAACTAGCATCTACAGGTGCCAAGTAAATAATGCCATCACAAATGGTGTTTTAGAACTCGCTGGGATCCGGTTGAGAGGTTTATAGTTCGTTTGGATCATCAGTTTCATTGGATGGACCTCAGAGGCAAGGCCATCCAACCTTGTATGCCGGAACTGGTACGAAGCAGCCGAACATGGTTCAATAGAGAGTCCCATGGTAACAGCTGCCCTGCTAAGAGCTAACCATCTACAGTCCAAGAGATCATCGTGTGGGAGCTGGGAGTGGATTAACTGGAACCGATTTCTGACTAAGCGAAATACATAAACCAAACCGAAAATATTACCTCATCTTATTGCATTTGTATCATGATATGAAAAGATTAGCTTATTTGCTGTACTTTGAATATCCGTAAATATTCCGTAAAGCCGTGAATGACAACTGACTTGCGACTCAATATCTCAACCTACACAACTGACCTCGTTAAGCAAATTTTGGAAGGCAAAATGCCTCCGTTCCAGGCCTTCCGACCAAGCGGCTTTGATACACACAGTCCCTCATGGACCCATGTTGACCATGGAAACAACCAAAGCCAGATTCAGATTTGGATGAAAAATATTCAATGTCGCAAACGGGGTGTTTGGGCCTACCAAACGAAGGAATTTGGCAATTTTTTCCAATTTTTGGATTCATCCGAAACTAGATATATGCCATATATCTCATCACTACAGTGTTAGGAGGTGCTTGCTGACTTGTCTAGGCCTTCCGGGAGCCAAATGATCCCCTCCTCTTGACCCAAAAGTTGTTACGGACTTCCGTACGTACCATCCGTTCCCGTGAATTACAAGGTTTGACTGCCCAAAATCAGACGGACGAACATCCCGCACCCTCTTTCTTTCTTCCTTTTGGGGCTAGTAGTTGCTTCTTTCTGCTCTGGTTTGGGCGCTGGTGTAGCTCGGGGATGAACCAAGAGCAGGAGGGTGCCGGTGGAGATCTAGTTGGTTTGGTCAGGATGGTGCAAGCTTGTGGAGCCTTGGAACGGGACCATGCTAGCACACTGCCTCGATCTCTTTGACGATACGACACGACGACACGACGACACAAGAACGAAGCAACCCTGTGTCTGTACATGTAGACACACTGCATCACACACTGCCTCGATCTCTTTGAAGTAGTTTCGCTTGGTCGGTGAGCAGATTTGACTGTGGGAAACACCTAGGCAATGGCTTGTGGGTCGTCCTCAAGCTCTTCTCGTCTGAATGACTCAATCGGTTAATAGACTTCAAGTGTTTTATCTTTTTCTTCTTTTGGTTTTTCTTCTTTTGGTAGTTTCCCTTTTTTTGGTAGTTTGGAGCCCATCACGAAATGAACAACTCGAATTGAGTAAAGGGATGGAAGCTGGATTCTAGAGGAGTTTGAAATTGATCAACGACATGCAATGACGACGGCTTCCTAACACGCTGTACACCAAAACACAGAAGATGCCTTTTGACACACACTAAGCCCAACTACATCAGCACTTTTTGCAAATAGACATACTCAGTAGACGATTGATATAGTCATGGGAAGAAGCCAACAAATCGTGCAATTATCAGCCCCAAGCAACGTCGGGTGAGTTTTTCGAATCATCATTCTTGTTGCCGCCATGACTGTTGCTGCCAAGTGTTCTCTCCATGACTTGCATGGCTGCCGAGAGCGCTACTTCCAGGGCACCCCGATACTGCATGATGGCATTCCATTCTGATGGTGGCAATTCGTCCTTCTCTGGCAAGGGTACATCCTTCAATTGATCAAATCGCACCCTTAGAAACTCCAAGTCTTTTTTCTTGGGTTTGTAGCTTTTCCGCATCCATGTCACTTCATATGATTTGACACCATCAACTATAGCAGAATGGAGCTCAAAGCCAATCGAACGCTTAAAAATCCAGCGTTGTGGGAAGTTCTCTACAAACCCATACTCACGAAAGATTTCGGGGGTTCCCCAGTAGGCAGCAGTGTCTCCACAATCAAGGCATTTGTCATAGGTGGAGTAGGCTTCCTCACCAGCTTCAATCGCTTTGCTTGCGCGCACTTTGAAACCATTGGGATCATAGACAGACGTTGATTCTGTATTGAGTTTCGCCCCGTTGTGATGATTGACCAAATCAAAAAGCGGACAAAGGACAATGTCCCATCCACGTTGGGCGACCAAAGCGACAGCTTGCCTTTGTGCCGGGTCGTGAACATCAATGCACTGGGAAAAACGATCGGAAAGCCAGCTAACGGCCAAAGCAGGAGGCAAGCGCAGCGACTGGTGAAAAGATGTTGAGTTTCCTTTTGACAAGGTTGAACTTTCTCCTGCTTGCCCTACGATCTGCTCCATGAGCTGCTGTCCGGGGAGGGAGTATGTGGCTGGAAGCTGCCCGTAGCTTTGTTCTTTCAGATATTGGACATAAGGAGCAAAGGTCGAATCTTGCCCGAGCTTCAGTTCGTCCAAGAGCTTGTGAGATAGCTGGCACATGCTATCGTAGTAACGACCGTCGTCATTTGAGCTAATTTTAGCCTCGCTTACCAAGTCCAGGCCAAGGACACAATTGGGGGGGATGTTGAGGAGGATTTCTTTGGGTTGGACTTCTTCCTTGGCAAAAATGCCAAAGTGTGACTTTGGGTCGCTTGGATTGGACCGTCGAAACTCGATCTTGGGGTTCACATAGCCACCCCTGGAACGAACCCACTCCACCATTTTGGCCACCGCTTCGTCCGAACGGGTGGGTGTGGTGCGAGACATAGCCATTTGCCAGAGTGGGTCCACATCTTCCTTCAGCAAACGAGCGGTTAGCTTTTCTGCTGTCCTATGAGTGAACACAAGCATCCCCGAGGACACCACAATCACAACCGCGAGAAACAAAAATGTCCCCGACGACCTACTTTTGCGTCTCCGCCTTTTGGCTGGGTTGTTCTTGGTTCCACAGTGTATCCCGAGAGCACCAAGGCATCCTCGTTTCTGTCGATAGTCCATGGTAAGACTGGATTTTGGCATGGTGAAAAATTGATAAGGACTTGCTTAACTAATAGAAGTACTCGATGTCAATTGCTTGTTAACGTTGGTTTCTTGGCAATGAAGCTATGGCACTTCAAAGCAACTTGCAGCCAAATACAGCATTTCGTGCCAGATCCTTTCTTTGCCGGGTGCAGCTGTGATGACGACAGCGAGCGCACTTTCCCACGCACTGGCTTGTCTTGCCCCTACGGAACTGTGACTCACATCTGCAGTCACGTTCTTGTCATGGCTCAAGACGTCGAGCCATTCCGAGCTCACGCTTGTGGTGTGCAGTACCGTGGTACACGACTGCATAATAAAGGTACGCGACCAAGGATTCTTGGTACCCGACCAAGGATTCTTGGTACAGGACTGGTTCTGTTTTTTGTCTAAAGCTTTGGACCTCTTCCACGCTGCCGCTACCTGGTACCAACCAGAAGACCGGTTAGGTGAGTATCGTACCATGCACACAGGCGCTTCCAGCCAGAGCCACAGATCTCTGGCTTCGCTATTGGTACATGTATGTCTACAGTGTAGCATGCTCCCACCATATTGTTTTGTGACCAGCTCAATGGCCACCGAGTATATACCGTAGCCATATAGCCACTGGCTAGCTACTCGAGTACATGTATAAAGAACGTATGAAGAACCGACCACCGAGTCGGCTAAGAAGCAACAGGTCCAACCATATCCATCCAGGGCGCAACAGCCAGGCCCAAGCAAGTCCTCCCAGGGGCCGTCATGCTTGGAGCAGCTCTTGGAGCCCGAAGGGACTTGGTGGCTGCTACCTGGAGCTAAAGGAATAGAAAGCAACAAAACTACATGGAAATAATGCCCAGCCAAATGCTTCTATCCATGATCAAACGTCAAATGCCAATGCCAACGCACAGCTCCTGTGACCAGCGTTGGGTGCTGCAACTAAAATAAATCGTACCTGGTACTCAGTATGCTCCAAAGAGTACCTTTTCTGGCCATTTGGGGCACAAGGGAGGAGTTTTTGGCAATGCTGCTTGGCTGCAAAGTTTTTTGCGGTATTTTTAAATAAGTCCCAGCTTTCGGGAACAGTAGCGCTGTGATCCCTTGAGCTTCTCTATCTTCTTTCTTCGTTTGCGATTGCTTTTGCCTCCAAGGCGTGGAAGCAAGCAGCCAGCCAAAAGCTGGTGTCGGTGAAAAGTAAGAAAGTAAGTGATGATCTTCATCCAGATCCAAGATCCAAGCATCCATGGTCACTCACTACAAAATGTACTACTGTACTCGCTAGCTAGCTATCCCTGTACCAGCCAACTGCGGAAGCCCCAAAGAGCCGAATGGAACAGAATCGAGGAAGAGGCATTAGAGTCTAGCTAGTCCAGTAGGTCTCTTCAATGCCCGCGGATATTCCTGCAGTTTTCCCTGCCACCACCCCCAACAACTCCCAACGACTGAAGCATCTAAAAGTGTGGACCCATCAAGATTCTCATTCCATCAGCTATTCCATCTATTTCTTTTGTTCGAAATGGTTGCGAGGAAAGGAAGCCATCCGAGCCATCTAGCTAGACTACTAGCTAGATCTAGTCTAGCTCCCATCTTCGGTCTGTTTTCTGTGGGTTGGGCTGCACCTCGCACCTCCAAGACCCAAGACCAAATCAAGGAACTTGCATCAACGCAGCAACCATATCCTACTGTAGACTACCTACATGTAGTAGGTAGCTCTGGTGGTGCTCTGGTATAGCTGAGCTGCCAGTGGCCATACTTTGGCTGTGCAAAGAGTGGAAAGAGCACATTGAATCGGTTGAACACCAGAAAGCATCTTTCTCTTCTTCCGGTTTTTACAAAAGCTCAAATAATGCATTAAGGACATCAGATGTTGCTGGGATGTTTCAGCGTTTCAGCTCCTTTTGCTGGGTCGACTTATGTCTTTATGCAGTTCGATCGTTCGATCGAGCTTTGATGGTCAGAGCTCGGCGGCCATTGACGTAAAAATGAATGAGCAATGGTACTGTAGATACTGTACTGTAGGTACGTACGGTACGGTATGGCTACGGTACGCATGGTGGTGGGAGCTATGGTGGGATGGTTGTGTCTTGTGTTTGCACGAGCACCCCGAACTTGGAAGTTGTTGACCGCGTCCCTTAAAAGCATACTCCCTGATGAGCTCTCTGAGAACGTGTGAACGAGAGCTGATTGAGCCAGTAGTACACTTGCTGAGTACTGTCCAGGGGCAGTGGACATGACAATGGCCAATTCAGTACTTGGAGTACTTTGCGTGCTCAGAGAAGAGAGCGTGATAAGGCGATTTTGCTTAAGTCCGTATGGCTACTGTCGAAACTGTGTGCTTTCTGTTTTGGGAATCCGACTTCATCCGATTAGATCCTGGTGAACGAGGATCTCTTTATCGTTATTGCATTGGCCCCTCTTCGTGATGTCACTAAGCGTTGGCTTGTATACAACTACATTTGATGCTTAAGAAACTCGAAGCGCCTGACGAGCTTTTGAGCGGAACTTGTAAACTCGTTGGAACTAATAATATGTAGTTACTCCTTTTTCGAGGCACCACAAACTCGCTGTGCTCCCAAAGAAGACTCGAAGACTCCCATGGTCCATGGACTACCTAGCTAAAAGCTCTAAGCTACCTCTTGATTTTGCCACCAAAACTTCCACCACTGAACCGAATCTCCCATAAAACTAACCAAAGCAACTTCTCAAGTCCAGTTGAACACCAAAACTAATACATCCTTCCATAATATCCATCTGCTGATCTACATCAATCAGAAGAGTTTCCAGTTTGTTGCTTTCAAGTTGCTTTCAAGTTTTTTTCAAGTTTCTTGCTTCAAGATGATCATGATGAACCATGTGATGCGAATGCCTCCTCAGGCAGTTGGCAATGACAATGGCGAAGCAGTAGTACCGGTAGTGGCACCCCCACCGGCAGCACTGCATCGGTTTTCCAGTGGATCCAAGAGCGACCAAGATCATGCGCCTGAAGTTCCTCGCTTTCCAAGATCTTTAACTTCATCCGTTTGTTCTCCCAGTTGCTGCAATGGCACGACTACTACCATCACCACTACCGCTACTATACGCTCAGCTGACCTGATGTTTGGCCAGACCTACGGAACACGCCGGACTAGAACCAGTCTATGTAAGTCCTTGCTTGCTACCTACCCTTGCTTTCAAGTGGATTCGATTCACCTGAGCTACCCTAATCTGACCTGATCTTATCTGACCTTATCAAACCTTCACCTATTTTTCGTTTTTACTTTACCTTTTGCAGTGATGGACGAAGACAGTGGCCACAGTCAGCCAGAACAAGAAGAAGACGTGAACATTCGCAGGTACATGAGCATCAGCAGATCCATGCAAGACACTAGTAACACTATACTAGATGCTTACATGATGGCTGGTCAAGCCAATGCTACCAGCAGCACATGCATGACTCTGTCACCCCCGCAGTTTACGTCACGTCGCTCGGCGGATTTCATCCCTTCAACACCCAAACGAAGGTGCTCCCGATACGACGAAGATGAAGATGACAACGACGAGGACTATCAACTCCCATTGTTTGATGGCAAGAAGAAGCAATACAAGAGATGGTTTTCGGATGCCTCCAAGACCAACCATAACCGATCCTCCACCTTGGCATCTTGCTGCTTGATGGGTTCTGCTGATTCAAGCTGCCCACCACCTCCTGCCATGGCCCGGGTCACGCAATCAGAAGACCTTCGTGCCTACGACAGGCGTGAAGCATTGAGGTGTCCTCAGAGACAACGATCCAGAGAAAATCTAATGCAGCAACCAAACATCCATGCGCATCTCAACTTGCCGCCGTGTCTGCCACCCGTGCCGACCACGACTCTGGCAAGGGCTACTCAGTCCGAAGACTTGCGAGCATACTACCACGGCCGCAAACAAAGCACGCTCACATTGCTGCCACCAGGAAGACGCCCTTCCTTGAATACTACTAGTACGGAGACAAACAAGACGCCCAACATGACCGAGCCCCAAGAAGCAGCAAGGGATCACAGAATTGTTGGCGGCAGAAAAGTCAAAAACTCCATCTTGACCAATGCCTTGCCCAAGACGAAGTTCACACCACAAAAGTCCCCGTCACAGGAGTGCCTGAGTGTCATTCACTCCATGCACACATCGACTGCTCTGGAGCAAGATTCAACAGTGGCGCCAGAATTATTAGTGGACAGCAAACACAACGTTCGTCGTCGCAGCAGCAGCAGCAGCAGAGTCCCTGATGAGGAGGAGCAACGCAAGTCTCCTCCTGTTGTTCCCTACATGATTATTGATACTACTACAGTCCCCGACAGCTTGCTCCACTCGAACAACACACATGGTTCTACTAGTAGATCATGCAGCAGTCGACGAAGCAGTATCAGCAGTGTCAGTACCCACACCAGTCATGGTACTAGCAGCAGTGGAAGCAGCAGCATCAGTAGTAGTAGTAGTAGTGGAGGAAGCAGCATCAGCTCCAAGAGTTGGTGCCAAAGTCCCGTCAGCGAACGTAGTCGAACGCGGCCGCTTGGATTGGCACTCTCGCAGCCACTGGCAATGCAATCCGAACGCACAAGGTCTAGATGGTGTCACTAACTAGGAGCTAATAGCCTAGCTAGGTTATCCCCCCAAAGATAAAGGAAACTACTGTACTAGTAGCTATTAATACTAGCCTTCAAAGCGGCACCATGGTGAGCCCTGCACGCCATCTCAACCTACGTGTACGATGTACGACGACTCGATCCTCCCAACGAATGCAGGACATGGACATTGGGAACATTGGGAACATTGGGAACACGCAGTTTGCCCATTGAAGTTCCAACGGGACTGTTTTCTATTCTATTCTATTGCCAGTGCATGTTCTCCAGTAGGTACCTTGTCTGTGGTCGTGTTCTCATGCAAGCGCTGCGTACATGTAAAGGCAAGAAGGCGTTCTGGTTGCAAACCCTTCGTACTCTGAGTACTAGAAGAACCTTGGTCTTGCATGTGAAAGACTCCTCTTCCTTCCATTGTAAAAGGTTTGCTTCACCTGCAAATGGTTACTACTACGGTTGCCATTTCTAGCCGCAAAGAAGGCTCTGCCTTTCCAGCAGCTAGAAGCGAAGATGTTGGTTGGCTGCAGTTGTCGGCCATGCCAAACTATCCGCTGCCGCTGCCATTGCCCGGCACCCACAACCACCGTAATAACGAGCACAAGCACCAAAGCATCACATCGTGTTTAGCTGTTAGAAGGGCGCACCATGGGGAAAGGCTGGGACCCTGCAGTCCAATTGAAGTTTGAAGTAAGTTTCAACAGCATATGGTTATGGCAAAGGAGATGCTTGATGCTCGTGGTCACCAAAACGGCTCTGACTACAGATGATCCATGCAGTGAGTTCATTGGCACGAAGCTCACAGATTTTGTGCTTGCCTTCTCTTGTCACAAAATCAGAGATTGGCCAGAAATACACAGCAGCTAGCCAGTACATGGCTGTACAAGGATGACAATGAAAAGCCAGCTCCGAGTACTTCTCTTGCTTGCGCTAGCTTAGCTCTCTGGCTGATGCCTCAGAGAGTATACTGCGAGTATGTAGCTACGACTTCAACTCGCTCTGCCATGGAGTATGTGTACAGTGCGTTGATGAGACTGGAGCAAGTACAAGAAACTACGGAGAATGGAGGTATCAACGCTCCCCTCAATGCCCTGAAGGAGTCTTCCGAAACCGTTGTAGTACTCAGAAGACACCACGGAGCTCATGGTAACTGCCAATGACGGAGCCTACTCAGTGCTCGCCGGAACGAACAGTCCGGAGCGACGACTATTACTAGCAGCTAGTAGTATTGAAAGTGACCCACAGGGCCACCGAGAACGCTACGATTGCGGTCGTCTTGAATGGTGTCTGCAGCCAGTTTAGTTGGTGCTGTCTCGTATGTCCCGGATACTGTGGATCCCTTCGTCGTCATTTGCAACTTGAACCTCAATGGGACAAGGCCGTCACGGTTCAAGGTGGCGCAGTACGTGGAAGAACCATTGAAGAAGCTCTGCTCAAACCTGTCACCTTGGCGCCCTCCCTGGCGCCCTCTACGGCCGGTTCTCCACCCCCCGTCGACAACTTTCCAGGATGCCTGCAATGCGCCACCATCACTTGTATTCCCCTGGAATGACAGAATCACAGAATGAATGGAAAGAACAAGCCAGGCGCCTGAGTGGCCAGGTCTTGATTGGGGGACGGAAAATTCTGGCGTGTACATCAACTAACAATCTTTAAGAGGAGTCGAGTCCATAAAGCACAACTTTAGACATTCTTTTACGATTCGTAAAACCGTATACTTCAGGTATTTTAGGTGGTGGTTGCACTCGTGTGCGTCGTTTGCTTTCCACCTTGGCACAACCGGTACCTCACCACAAGAATTTTAGATGAGGTGGGACATTGAAAAGCTTGGTGACGCTGTGATTGTCAGAGTCGCCCGTTTTGTGTTCATCTTTCTTTGTGACAACGAATCATGCGCTGCCAACTTGTGGGCTGAGCAGTACCATGCCTTCATTTTAAGAGGCAACGAAGAATGACTCAAAGGAGAAGGGCAGATTCTTGGCCACCACCAACCCGGCTGCTAAAAACATCCAGCAAATGATGCAACATGTGAGAGGGTGGCAACCAAGCCCATCATGGATGCAACAAGGAGCAACAATGGAAGAAGAAGCAGAATAGATACAGCAGGCAGGCAGCGGAACTTCTATATGAGAATGCAGGACCTTTCTGTTGGATACAATCTTCAGACGGCCCTTGTAAGACCGAATTGGGTGCATGGCTCCTCCTCCTCGGTTGAACGGCGCTACCAGCTCACGTTGCGTGTCGCTCCGATCTCCAGCCACCTACCGGCAGTTGGACGTGACTTCTAACCTATTTGTACAAGTAAGTAGAGACGGGGAAAAAGACCAACCTTTCACCACGCAATAAATCAACCGCTCATTACTTCCATTTTACTATTTCACGAGCTGCTGGTTGGTTCAGTCTTTCTTTCATGCACATCAATAATACACAGCGTTCTTTCTTGCTTATTGTACGTAAAAATTCAGTCAGTCATTGGTACTCCCGGTCGAGTTCACCCAACTCTTTGCCATCCAATAATACGAGTACCCACATACCAATCACAATAAATATACAAACAATACATCACATGACTTGACCGTGGTCGCCATCGATCGATCGATCGCACGTACTCCCATGACCACGGACGCTGGTTGGTTGGTAGTCAGACAACAAGGCAGCACAACTAGCTAGAACTCGGCCAAGCTCCTGGATCGACTTGGTCGTGGCACTGCTGCCAGACTTTCACTGTTGGTGGATTGTCTCACTTTTGGTCTTCCTCGTTCCTTTCTGCACGAGCTGCCGTGATGATGATGGCTCCGTTTGCTGCTGGACTTGAGTAGTTGTTGCTGTTGTTGTTGTTGGTGACGGTGACTACCAGTACCAGCACTCGTGCTCGTAACTGTGGATCTTCGTTCCTTGTGTTCACTGGCACTCATCGTCATGGTCGTACTACTACTGCTACAGGTAGCACTGCCCGTGGTACTGGATCGTCCCAATGCAGGACCGGACTTGTTTTCGACCACAATTGTGTTGGCATTGTTTCCACTTTTCAATCGTTTCTGTGCATTTCGCCCATGCTTGGGACATGATTTGAGAATAATAACGACACCCTTTTCACCGGATTCCTTGGGACACGTGCAGGACCTGGACTTTTTGCTACTTTTCTTCTTTTTCATCATCATGTCGGAGGAGGATCGGTTGTGACTGCTCTTGTTCTTGCGACGATGATGATGACCATCCATGCTCTTGCCACGTCGTCCTTCCTCTCCGGTAATGCGGGTGCGCAACCTACTGAGGGATCGACTGACTCGTCGAATGACGGTTCGTGTGAGAGATCGAGAGCGTTCATTTCGTTTCAAGAGTGCCTTGCTGGTAGTTACAATGTTTCCTTCGTCGTCGCGTTCCTCGCTGACAGTGGTACTGGTGATGCTTCTCACGGAAGCACTGCGACGAGGTCTTAGTAGCGACGACGATGACGATGATCTCATTTCCGCCGCGTGCAAGAGTAGACTCTGTCGTGCACTGTTTCCTCGAGTGACGGGTGGTTTGGTGCAACTCTTACGTTCACGACCACGACGACGACTGCTGCTGCTCATCATCATGGGGTCGTTGTTGTTGTTGGAGGTTGTTGTTGTGGTTGTTGTTGTATCATGGCACGTACTGGTATTGCAACTGGACATGTCTTCCGTGGCACTGGTCATGGATACGTTTTGTGTGTCTCGTTGGTTACGTTGTTGATTACGTTCAATGGACTGTCGTCGCTTTCGTTCGGCTTCAACGCGTCTGGATCGTTTTCGTTGTTCCTTGCGATCGTGTTCTGTGGAAGAAGGACTGCTGTTCGTGTCAGTGGTATCGTCCTGGCTCCCGGTGCTACTGCATGTGGTAGTCGAGTGCGTGTGAGTGTTTAAGTGTACGTGTGGCATCAGCTTTGGTTCTTGCAGGTACTCAGCCACGGCTTGCTGGAGCAGTAGATTTCTGTCTTTGGCATGATTGTACTCTTCTTGCAAGTCTTGATCTTGACGTTCCTGACGTTCGTGTTGCTTGCGGGAATGCGTACTCGTACTAGTACTACTAGCACTGAGAGTCGTACCAGAATGTGACTTTTTTCTCGGGGTATCTTGCGTTTCTTGCTGCGCTCGTTCTTGTCCCTTTTGAATGGCTTCTAGAATGTCGACATCGGCAGACGTTTCGTCGTTGTTAAAGTCGTCGTACACGTAGTCGTTGTGGGTACTAGTAGCATTGCTAGCATTGGTACTAGCAGCGTTGAGACGAGGTTGCAAAGGAGGCAATGCCAACGGCAAGTCCACCTTGGACGCCAAGTCTGCCAATGCCAACGCCGTAGAACTGTGCTGGTGGTGGCTGGCATAGCTAAAGACGTCCATGTCCATGTTTTTCAAGTTATCGGCACTGGAATGAAGTTGCTCGTGAAACAAAATGGAATTCAAGTCTTGTTCTTCTCGTCGATAAGATCGTGGAGTGGGCGAAGGAGGCGATAGAGTCGAAGCTGCCATTGTTCGTTCTCGTCGTTCGCCTCTTTCGCTTCGAACTTCGCGACGTTCCTTGTCTTTGTCCTTATTATTGTCTTTGCGGGGCATCTTCTTGTACCGGTATGGGTAGCGTAATGGGTAGCTTGACAAGAAAAAGGGGTATATACCGTACCTTGGGTAGCTTAACAAAGCTTAACGAAGCTTAATGGGGGTATCTTCTTGGGGAATCCTCGATCAGAGCTCTATCAGAGAAGATAATGGGGGTATCTGAGGGTATCTGAGGGTATCTGAGGCAGATAATGGTGACCTTGGCTTATTAGCTGAGCTTGGGTATCCGTTTGTGATTTTGTGAAAGTGATCCAGTGAACTGGTCCCTGCTTGCTGGATAGCTAGTTGTCTGTTTGTGTTTGTGCGTTTGTTCGCTTGTCTGTATGCTACCAAGTAGACTAGTAGTCTATGTGAGAAACTATGAGATGGTTTCCTTTTTACGGGTGCTTCAGACTAATTGTTGGCTGATGTGAGTGTGTGTACCTTGCAGGAGTGATCTTGTGACAGGCTAAACAAACAATTTTGGCAAAGGCAGAATAAGATGCTCCCGAAGCAGTTGATAGAAACTGTGGAAAGAAACAACAGCGGATAGCGAATCAACCGCTTCCGCGACCAGCAAGCAGTGTTTACTAATAGGGCATAAGAGAGCTGGCCAATCATACAACGTACCTTTACGTACTATCACATCAATAGTACATACTTTTAACAACCAGACTGTCAACGGTACTCACTCACTAATATAATATTATATCACCAAAATTGTTCTGATCAGCCAAATCCAGAGGATTACCGCCGGGACCTTTCCCTAATGAATTCTAGTGAGGTCTTGCTGCGATTACACTAGATAATTTTGTTTAACAAACACATAAAGTACATTAGCCCTTCCTTGACCACCGACACATTCTTTATAAACTGTCCAAATTATGTACGTTCCATGAGCATTGAAACATGCAAGACGAAGTTCTTTCTTTCCGTTTTATTCCCAAAGACAATGGCCATTAAAGCATCAAGGGCACTCCAACTTACCGTTTATCTTGTCTACTCGTGACAGATAGACTACTGCCCTCCTCTCCAAATCTTTGGTGTCACAACGTCACGCCAAATACCTATCCAAGTCTCACACATGTACAATCACCACTCAAGTCTGGAAGGGCGCAAAATCGAATCTTCATCGAATCATCATTCAAATCAGAATCGAATCTGCAGGCCCACGGCTCGAGCCGAAGGATGCGGTGTGGGAGAGTGCTAGTAGTCTAAGCGGATTATCTACGGCTTGCAGGATACATCCATGGCATCCAACACATCCTGCAACTAACTAACTTCTGATCTTATCAACTTTCTACAAAGCTAGTATTCTATTATTGGATCAAGCTAGTATGCATAAAAGCTCCATTGATGTGGGAACAGACATTCTGCAACAGCAACTGCGACACGGACGAAGCCAACGATGTTTGCATAGTGTCCGGTTTGGTACCATAATATGCATCGCAGCCATCAGCTGCATTGTCTCTCAGGGTCACGAGAGGGACTAGCACTGTATGAATATCGTTCCATGCTCTCTCAATCTTGTCAGCAGCGACAGCCACAATGCCTCCCTTGTGATCTTGAGCAAGCCGTTGCCTTGCTGCTTTGCGGAGCCGTGTGGGCTCTAGAAGACCTCTTTGCAATGCCATGCAGGCGTCTTTGTCATTGACACAGATCCAATGTATGGTTCGCCAAGCTAGAGCGGAATGACTAGCTTCTTCCTTGGCAATGATTGTCATTTGGTTCTGGAGCCACTCTCGTTCCTGTGGCTTGAGAAAGTCGTTGGTCTGGTCCATCATCAGTAGTAACCTTTGCTCCTGCTCATCCACCTCAATTGCCATGATGATTGCCGAAAGAGTTTCATGAATACATCCTTCAAAGGCCGTCGCCAGTGCCAGAGCAGTCATGTCGCGATCAAATTGAAGAGCTGATGGCGGCAGAGCACTTGGTTCCACTCTTGTTGTTGTTGTTGCTGCTGCTCCACTGGCACCACCACCCAAAAACAAGGAAGCGGCTTGGAAGGACACCTTGGCATGTCGAACTTCATCTTGCGCAGCTACAAGAGAGTCCTGGACGAGATCCGGTGGTGCATTGTTGGACATGAGCGCAATGGTAAAGGCTGCAAAGCTGGCCACAGAGGCATGTTCCCCAATGGCTCTTTCCGCCCACTCTTGACCATACGCCTTGCGTTGTTGTTCAGCTTTGTTATTGTCGGCAAGTGACGTTGCTGTTGCGTTGAAATTTAAAGCGTTGTCGGCAAGGGCACCGCTAGCGCTCCAATCGCAGCTTGCTGGGTTATTCTCTTCCTCTGATCGTGCTGTGCGTGGTGACATTATTTGAACATGCGCCTGAACTTGCTGTCCATTCTGATCTACAAAGGGTCGTCCATACGACCACATTTGACAATACCCATCATCCATTGACAGCTGTTCTAGGCTTGTGTAGGAGTCCATATTCGTCTGCACAATCTGTTCGTTGTCTGTAGTAGTGGGAAAGGTCAAGTTTGCATGCGCATGCACGTCACATCTATCATCCGTGTATCCTCCCGGAATAGTCTGAATGTCAATGTCTAGAATGCGTGCTTTGGGTGCCTTGACCGAGAGGCTGTCGGACCGACATCCATTGTGCAAGATCTCCACATTCACAGCACACTTAGTTTTGGCGGTGGCAGTTGGGCCGGGTTGAACTGGATTGGTTGGAGCAGGTGCAGGATTAGTTGGAGCTGGAGCTTGATTTGTCGGTGCTGGAGCTTGATTTGTCGGTGCTGGGACGGGATTAGTTGGAACTGGTGCAGGACTAGTTGGAGCTGGGGCAGGTGGGGTTGGGACAGGATTAGCTGGTTCTGGAAGCGGAGGCCTGTTGGGTGGCCTTGCCACAAAACCTGTGTTTATGGGTTCTCTGTCTTGAGGCCGGGCAGCAATTCTGCCATTTCCTGCTCTGGTCATGTGAACAGTGTTGCTGGTCCAAGTCCAAGTCTTAGGCTGACTGTTGCTCCTTGTCGTCTCGGGCTGTTGCACTGGTGTGTCATTTGGGCGGGGATCCATATAGACTCTGCCACTGCTCCATGTCTCCCGTTCACGTCGCCTTGCATCGCCATCCCGTCTCAATGCACGGCCTGCATTCTCTGCTTCAGCTGCTTTTTCAATTTTGTCATAGACTTCCTGTGGAAAGGATCTGTCGCCAAAATACCAATCCAGTTCTTCCGGGGTACAGCAGCAGGGAATACAGCAGCCACCGTAATAGGTCCAATTGGCATAAAACTGGCTGGGTTCCAAAAATGACGTCTTGTCTAGTTCGTACCAATCGTGTTCTTCCGTGGCAGCATTGTTCTCGGTAATAGAAACACCCAACTGGGTATCTTCGTCAATGACGATCGCATCCAATGGCAAATCACAATTGCTAGTCACGACAAGCTTCATGTAGTTTTCTCCAATGGGCGAATCCTCGTTCATGTCATTGTGCCGCAAACTGCTAATGGGAAAATCAGAAACTATTTGGGTATCTGATAGCTCTCCGTCGTAGAGTACATACATGGCATCCTCATCATCATCTTGGTCCAGAATTTCAATCCGGTCTTCTGCTACTGACATATGTGTGCATAAGGAGAGTGCGAGTGCAACCAGTAGAACCAGCAGGCTCAGGTCGGGAAAGGGCTTCAGGGACTTCATGGTGGTGTATGTTTATTTGCTGTCGACTAAAAATGGACTCAGCTCGAGTTCGAGTTCGCTACTCGAGTACGGTACCCATCCTCCCTCGACTGAAGCCTGAGCAATCAGCAACAAGACTGACCAGAGTGGCGGTCTACTAATACCGGTACTTCTTTTGGATCTTCGCTGGGTGGATGGCACAAGCTCGACTGAGGTTCATGCATGGGTCACAGTCATCCTCGGCAAAATCTAGCTAGCTAGCTAGCTGCTAGTGGATTAGCTAAAGATTAATTGTTGCGCCCTGCTTTGGCTTTCCAGATATTATAAAACCGTAGCCACCGTACTTAGTGAGGCAGAGCGGCCATGTCTAGCTTGAACTAGCTAGGCATGACACATGCAATAGCACCAGCCTGATGATTCCTTTTAGAAGGGGAGCGAGCAATAGCTACTACATGGGAGATTGGTGGGCTCAACCAATTGGCAGCAACCACTAATTTGATGGGGTATATCGTGCAGTCATCTTCCGCAAAATCTAGTTGCTGATTAGCTAAAGATTATTGTTGCCCGAACACGATGGTTAGACATGATTTCTGGGGCTTTTCCGTCTACGTATGTATGCACCAATAGTTTCGTAGCTGTCTCGCTTTTAGCGTTTTGGCAGGTGTGTCAATTGCGTCTGTGGCTTCTTCTGGGTGGCATTGTGCGGCTTCCTTTCCTTTCCTTTACGGCAGGCAGTGTGCACGACTTCGTACCAACCCCAGCCAGCTGCGATCGCATTGATCGTTGCATGATCGATCAACCCAGCAAGCAAGCACGGGAGTCGTGGCGCCCGAAGCGACTGCCTCCTCAAATCTTCCTGCCAACGTTGGCAGGTCGTGAGGGATCCATATCAGTGCTTGATTTCTGAAGAAGTGACGAGCCAGAATTGAATTGCTGTTTGGACCATCGGCGGCTTCAAGTTATCTTCAATCATGTCCCAGGCAGATTGGTTCACCTTGTTGGCTCGTCTTCTTTGGGTACGACAGCTACCGTTTCCTTTGGCAATCTTCTGCCATTGTCAGGCAGGTTGTTTTGGCATCAATCTCGGCATCTCGGCGTGGTTGTCTTCCTGCTGCTTCAGCATTGGATCTATGCATGGCTGATGGAGTGTGGCTACACGGACTTGAACGACAGAAGCAAAATCACGGATGTACATACAGTACTAGTACCGACAGAGCAACTGCTTTCTTTGGTGTGCATTGGGTGATCAAGCAGCCAAAGCCGCAGTCACGCAGCATCCAAAACTCCTCTAGCTCGAAGACCAGCCATGGCTGGTTGCCGTTCTGCCGTTCTCAAATGGTGCTGCGGTAGCTATAGCCGGTTACAGCTCGCTCTGGGGCGGAAGCAGCAAGCAACGAGGATGAGAAACGGTGCTTGCCTCATCACTATTCGCTCGATGCACCGAACTCTCAGCCGACCGTCCCACCATCTCCCAGACGAAGCATTGCCTACTGCATGCATGGTTCTTGGCTGGTGTCTCTCGATGGAGTCGAGTGAGCGACAGTCGAGTCAGGCAACTATTAATAGCTAAACATCCCATGCTGCCACTTGTGACTGTAAGCAAGCAAACTCCATTGCCATCCATGAGCGTGCCGTTAAAGCCCGATTCCGTGGCACCTTTGACTCATCTAGCTATCTCACTCTGCTTCTAAAGACTGGCTAGTCAGCTGTCTCCGTTTCCTCACCTGGCTGTGTCCTGGCGACGCCTACTAGTCTAGCTCGACTAGCTAGGCAGCCAAGCGTCCGTCATAACTTCTCTACTCTAGCTAGACTCTGAACGATGACTGAGAGTTGGATCTGTTGCTAGGATCTAAGCAACGCCGAAGCAAGCAACCGACAGCACCAAACCTTTGCAGAGACAACACACGGACCCTCCTGTGGCGTCTAGATTAAATCCTACACTAGCTAGCTAGCTAGTCTAGAAGTATCGTATTGTAAATCCCTTTTTTAGTTCTTGGTCTTATACATGTATTATACTACTACTCTTTGGAATGCATCCGAGTGTCGTCGAGTTGTCTCCTTGTCATCAATCACACAACTCTCAATCACGCACCAGAAGATCCATCCACAGCAGTCTCCATTGTATTATGTGTTTTTTATTTTTGGTAAGAACAGATTGGGACTATGCGACGGAAGTGACACCGCTGACCTTTCCGAGCATCTTCAAACGATTGGAATCCATGACGGCGAATCGTCCAAGAGCAGCGCACTGCTCAAAAGGCTCCAAAAAGAGAGGAGCGGTAGGCTCGAATTCGACTTCGGCGGATTCGAACTGGGATAGTTCGGGGGGATTGTCCACCTTGGCTCCTCCAGTCTTCTTGGACTGCTTCCAGATAATCTTGGTCATCTTGCAGGCAACCTTGGCGGTACGAGAGAAAATGACAGGACAGTATCCGGGCTTGAGGACACCAGGGTGCTCCTGGACAGCGACAAAGGCAGTGAACGACTTGACGGGCTTGAGGGCTCCTTCCTTTTCCAGGTAAATGATATCTCCAGGCTGAACCTTTTCATCCTTGGCAATACCCTTGATGGACATACCGACCGAGTTACCGGGTCCGGCGGAATCGAGGACCTTCTTGTGCTGTTCAATGGAGAACATTTTCTTTCCAGTGAGACCAGATGGAGCAATTCCAATGACATCACCGGGACGAAGAGTTCCCTGTTCAATGGTTCCGCAAATGATTTGACCAACTCCCTTGATATTGTAAATGTTGGATACAGGGAGACGAAGGGGGGCATCGGGGAATCGCTTGGGGGGAATGATAAAGTTGTTGAGGCATTCTACAAGGGTGAATCCCTCAATGACCTTCTTGGGGTTAATGTTTGCCTTCCATCCCTTGTACCAGGGCGCCTTGTCGGACTTTTCGACGAGGTTGTCTCCATTGAATCCCGAGTAAGGAATGAAGGGTACCTTCTTGGGCTTGAACCCAATGAGCTGAAGCATCTTGACGAATTCAGACTTGATTTCCTCGAAACGGTCTTGAGCCCATCCGCACGCGTCCATCTTGTTGATTCCAACAATGATTTGTTCAACTCCGAGGAGGTAGAGCAGGCGTGCGTGCTGGCGCGTCTGTCCTTCTTCCACGCCCAACTTGGGGTCGGCCTTGGCAATGGCTGCCTCGAAACCTCCCTTTTCGGCAGGCACAAGGAGCAGACCCACGTCAGCAGTGGCAGATCCGGTAATCATGTTCTTGATGTAATCCTTGTGGCCAGGAGCATCGACAATGGTGTAGTGGTACTTGTCGGTGAAGAACTCCTTGGTGTTGCACTGAATAGTGACTCCACGTTCACGCTCTTCCTTGCACGTATCCAAGTAGTAAGCAAAGCCAAACGAAGACTTTCCCTTCTCTTCCGCCTCCGCTTGCAGCTTGGTCATTTCACGCTCACTGATTCCGCCTTGCTTGAAGATCAAGTGACCGCAAGTCGTAGACTTGCCGGCATCGACGTGGCCGCACACCACAAGAGACAAATGTTCCTTACCCTCGCTCATCTTGATATGATATCACTGATAGCTAGTAGCTAGATAGATAGATTGATTGCTAAAGTTTGTTGATAGACTTGACGAATCAACAAAAGTGAGCTTGAGCAAAAGCAATCGATTGATTGATGACCTTTTGCTAGCCAGCCACTACCGTACTAATAGTAGATGAACGTTTGCGTGCTTGCTTGGTCCGCTTCGCTGAGTGTCCGTCTTGATCTTTCCTGCAAATTGGAATGGATGGCTGCGAGCCTCTTGCTTTTGAAAGTCTAACTAAGCACATTCTATGCATTTGAGCTCTGTCTGTCGTCCGTTGACAATTAAAAAAGGGTTATTGGTGGGAAATGGACAGACCATCTCCACTATTATATACATGACATGTTCGGTCAACTTCGACACCCAACAAAGGCGTGACGTGGTCATATCCTGTCCGTCATGCGCAGTATCTTGCGCGACTATGACCCCTTCCACACCACACAATAAATAATGCAGCCAAACATCCACGAGGAACCAACAAACCGGAACCCGCCACTATCTACATGCAACTAACACACAAGCAACCGCTCCAACAAAAAGGGGGAGAGGAACGAATCTTTCAATCACACGACCCCAACACTACACTACGACCGTTGACCCCCACTTTAGACTTACACGGGATTGCTCTTTCAGAACCACGGGTTTTCGAGAGAAGTCCATCGATTTCTATTTTGTTCGATGACTAAGGTTTGGGCTTCGCTTTTCCACGGCGTGTCCTCAACACGATCCCTTCGAGCATCGTCGAGTGTCAGGACGAACAGGTTTGGATTAATTTTGGATCTGCTCACTGCATCGCATCGCATCGCATCGCATCGATCATGCAAGGAGATTACATACATAATGTAATGATCATGCATGTCAGTGTGCCAACCAATGTGATTGAATCTCGTGTCAATGATTGGTTGGTGCATGGATGGATCGATCGCGTCCTTTCCATGTCTTTCGTGCGTAGGTATTCTGCCTGACGGCTTTGTGAAACCTGGGAAAGAAGATCACATGTGGGTGGGGATGATGCAACTATCCATGTGCGCCGAATCGAATCAAATCAATTCTCGATGGACGTGCATGCATGCGTTTGTGTCTTCCAAGGATGGATGAATGAATCGAATGATCAATCATCAATCAGACGAGATTGGATTCGATTCGATTCGCAACCCCAAGCAAAGTACAGTTTAGACCATGCATATGAATAGTTCAATCGAATGAATCGTCGTACTGTTCTACTAGTACGGTAGTACACGTACCTCTACTAGAGTACGATAGTGAGAAAACGTGTCTGACCTCGGCGTTTACTTCATTCGATTTTACTTTAGCAGGCTCTGTGGTAGCTTTTTAGTTACTCTGTAGAACGGAGCCATATGTATGGAGGCTGTCGTAACCGATACCGGTAGATTAGAAGCTACAGTGCCTCGGATACCCGGTTTACAATGCGCTACGGTAATATAGTACATATCAATAAATATAGCCAGCCAGCCATGAGAGCCACAATGCAATGCATGAACGGTCTTGATACTCAGAGAGCGGCGACAAGGAGCACCTTTTTGCAAACGTGTCATTGCTTTTCCAGCACCACCGTGCACCGCGTATCCGAGATCTCGTTCCAAGAGGTTGCTTCTCTAGCTAGGATCATCTCTATTCTCGTGCTCGACCTCTGCGGTACTACCTCTACTTCCCCCCAAAAAAACGATCAAAAACAGAAATGGTTTTGGTCTTCCACAAAGCGGCACCGGTTGAGGGAGCGGTGCGTTGGTGTCGTGGATTCTCCGAGGAACAGTTGACCGTGTGTTATGTTATGTGTATGTAAGCAACTCGTGAAAGGCGCCAGAATCGCTTCATTCATTCCCTTGAAATCTCTTTCAAGAATTGGACTAATCGTCATTTCGCGGTCCGTCGTAACTGTCGTCGAGCAACCACAAACTCGACGAGTTGGGTGGATCTGGCTGCGGTCCTTTGGATCGAGCAGAAACAGATAGCTATAGCTAGTCTACCAGTACACGTACCGATACGCCGACTGAACCAGTGCAAAGCAGGAAACGATGGTAGAGACTCGAAGTGCTGTCAAGTTGGCCAACGGAGTCGGGGCTGCTTCGTCTTCCTCTTCAAATTCTTCTACCACGAACACCAACGGTGGCACCAAATTGGTCGACCGCAAGAGCCAAAAGACTGAACAAACCCACGAGCCACGTAAGATGCCTCCAACCTCGTCAAGGAAAGTCAACGTGGAGGGATCGTCCAACAATGCAATCAACGGGGACATCAAACACTCTGGTCTATCCACGACGAAAACAGGTAACAGACACCAACCTGCCGTACCGGTAGCCGTCATTGGTGCAGCAAATAATAAGCGATCATATGGCACCCACGACGACGAAGACGACAGAAAGATGCCGGCCAAAGCGACACAATCTATCGCAGCAAATGTAGGAATCAACCTGTTTTCAGACAACGAAGGTGAAAACAACGACCAAGAGTCCGTCATTGCCATTCCTTCAGAAGACGATGATGATAGTGTTGTATTAGTACATCCGTATCGTCATTTTGCAACCAAAGAGGAACAAGAAATGACCGATGCAAAACTGGCAGCTTCACTTCAGTCGGCGGAAACCAAGGCACGGGACCACCGCAAACAGCAGGAACTGGATTTCATGAAAAAGAGTCATGCGGGTCGAGCTGTTTTGCTAGTGGAGAAAGTCATTGCTTTGCTGCTAAAACCAGAATATGTCAAAGAAGGCATTGAGCCATTGGGTCGAGATGATGCCGTATTTCTTGCAGAGCAATTATTTGCAATGCAAGCAGAGCTTCAACAGAAGAAGATCTCAAGCAAGAAGAGTCAAAAGGATGACAGTGCTCCCCCAAAAGGTGCACGGAAAAGCAACAAAAAGAAAGCCATTGCTCCAAACACCAAGGAAATACCAACACACGTCTCCATTGGATACCATTACACATCGCAGGTGAATTTGGATTCTATCCGCACGGATGGGCTCTTGACTATTGAAGACCGACAAGCTGCCACGCACACAAATATGCGAAATATTGCTTACTTTGGGAATGGCATCTACACTGGAACCAGTAAGTTAATGTCAGTCAGTCAGATCCGTAGACGCTCGTGACGGCATCGTTCATATACTCTTTCCAACAAACTCGAGGTTGCAAGCTCACAATGCCTCGTCCCTGTTTCTCTATCATCTCGGAAATTTAAGATCCTCATGCTTTCTCAAACTTCGGGGATGTGGGCTTGCTCGTTGCAGTGCTCAAGGGCACCGAAAAACGAGTAGGAAGTCGAGGAAAGCTTTCCCAGAAGGAACGCAAAGCCGCGAAAATCAACACTGTCATTGGAAACAAAGGATTGGGGCCTTCAAGTCGCGAACCGTTTTATGACGAAGTCATACTCCAGAAGAGCAATCAGGTGCTTCCCCTTGTCAAGTATCAACGCGACAAGATAGAAAAGAACAAGTTTGCCGACATGCTATGGTCCATTCATCAGCAAGTCCAACAAGTGCTGGACGAATACTTCAACGAGTCCATTCATATGCCCCCTGGGTCGTCTCCGTTTCCAGTACTAGTTCAACTTGTGTACTAATACAGGATAATGGTGAATAGAATCGAATGAATCATGTGGCTTATATTTAGGGTTTAGGTTTTGCAATTTCGAAGTCAACGTGTGTTAAGTGGAGGGTTGGCTCGCTTCCGCTGGGAGCTTGGCGTCTTCTTTTTCCTCTGCTTCCCGCTCTTCGTCGGAACTGGGGTATTCGGTAATAGGATCGTTTGGAAGTTCGGCAGCTTTCTTCATACCTTGTGGAGTGTCATCATTCTGACTATTCGCAGGTGATACTTTGGCCGACGTGGTTCGTGGAACAGGTGGGACGGGAGATGACGTATTTGGTTGCATTGGAACTGGGAATGATTTGCGAATAATATTGGGAGGTCCAGTATTGAGGATTTGAAAGTGAGGGCACGGGGGATTTATACGGTAAGCTACTGTAGGAGACTTACCACCGTTCTCCTGCTGGTGCTTTTCCAGAAGAGTTCCCAAGAAGGTCTCAAAGGTCATGCCGGGGGGTAGTGCAAAACCATGGGGAAGGGCCAGTGTGGCAGCTTGAAGGCGAACTGGTGGAGTAGAGGTGGGGGCGGGGGATGGTGTGCGTGCGTAGTGGCTTGTAAGAATGTTGCGACGGGCACCAGTGATGGCCCGCATGCGACCGAAGTCCGATGCATCCAAGGTTGTTTCGGTGAAATCAACGGACGTAAGACGTGAAGCCGGGAGTTGACCACGAGGCCAAATAGAGTACACATGGCCCTTGTCGTCCTTGAGGAATTCGGATACGGTGCGGTATTCGCCTTGATCGATCCAAGAATCCGTCACAAGGTGAGTCATGATGTCCGAGTGGGTGAGCAGCTCACTCCAGGGGTCATGGACCTTGTACAACTTGTCATGTTCGTCGATAACTAGGTAGGGTTCATCCGTCTTTGCCGGGTCGTACACTTATTGCATGTAGGCCGGTTAAAAGGTTTCATTGAACCACTTCAAAGCCATTTCTGGGGTTGGGATCTGGGGTGAGAAACGTTCACCAGTTTGTTCGTCAATTTCACCTCTGGGGCACATGATAACAAAGTCTCTTTTGTCATAAGAAGTACCGTTGGTGGCCTCGTAAATAAGGAGCTTTTCCCCATCAGAAGAAGCGGGGTCCACCAAATTGAATACCCACTCGATCAAGTGCTTGTCAGCGAGGGCTTTCACAAAA